TATAACCGAACCACTAATAGGCTGAATTAACATATATAATAGAACCAGTAATAGGCTGAATTATTCAACTGGACACTCTCCAATATCTGAAGTACAATTAAGAACCTTACCTACTTTCAGGCGATTCGGAATAAGATTGGCTTGGTGGCAAATTGAGCACTGAGCAGCGAGTTTGGCGCTAACGATGATGATACGTAGAGATTAAAGCATGCTGATAACGTGTTGTAATACCGTCTTATTCATTCATTTGAACCTATATATAAGAGCATCTCCAATGTGACTTTTGACATTGCAAAAAATTATCCATATCATCAACTTTTGAAAGTTTATTACTAATTTATTCTCCAATGCATCTTGTCATTAGCTCTTTAATGATGATGTGGATGGCATTTAATGTTAACAATGTTGAACTCACTTTCTAATATCTAACACCATGTTAAACATGATGACTCATTAATTCACTTTATATTTGGTTTAATTTTTTATTATTCTTGTATTAATGAATTATTATAATTGGTCCACCTATACAAATAAATTCTTATCAAATTGGTGCATTGGAGATACTAGTTTGATTCAAATTTTTAGCCTTTTAACATTATTCTTATGTGGATTAACATTACAATCATCAATTGACATGTGTTAAAAATTATTGCCTTTCAACACCATAACATTGGAGATGCTCTAAAGGAATACAATGTACATGACTAATGACCTAATGGGCTCCTGGCCCATACCTTCAAAGTCTATATCTAGGTAATTTCCCAAATTAATATTTATAACAGCCTTAAATTAAAGAGGAAATTATGCGGGCACGACACCTCACCATTTTATTTACACACTTACTATTAAAACAAAAACTGTTGCAAAATTAACATCCAATGTAATTTTATTTGTGAATTTACGAGAATGTTTGAAACAAACGCCTAATTAATCATCTCTCTCCCACGTTTGGAACAGACGCCTCCCTCAACGCATCAAACCCTAAGACCAAATTTCATGGCTAAAACAAAGAACTCCA